TGAAACCATCAGCCGTCATTTCAATAATGTGTTGAAGGCAGTCAAGTCACTCTCTCGTGAATTCTTACAAACACCAACCCCCACCACCCCTCCAAAAATCCTTGGAAATATTAGATTTTATCCATATTTCCAGGTGTGTGTTCTATGTCATGCTTTTCTCATTTGATTTGTTCTTTTGCCATTCACTTTTAGTTGCTATCTTATAACAAGAATGTTACTATCTGTTTTTAGGATTGTGTAGGAGTCATTGGTGGAATGCACATTCCAGCCCATGTCCCAGCCAAAGATCAATCCCGTTTTCGAAACAAGAAAGGTGTTCTTTCACAAAATGTGTTGGCAGCTTGCACGTTTGACCTCCAGTTTATATTCATTTATCCTGGTTGGGAAGGATCAGCAGCAGGTTCACGTGTATTGAAGGCAGTTCTTGATGATCCACATCAGAATTTTCCTTGTATTCCTGAAGGTTTGCCTCAGATATTTTATATCCGAAACATGCTGCTTGCATACATTATTTAATCTTATATACACCACATGTAATGCCGTCCACAACAAATGTTTGTCAATGAGTTTAGCTTGCAGGAAAATATCAACTTACATTTATCACTGATTTTCTTGCAGGGAAATATTACCTTGTTGACTCAGGATATGCAAATATGAAAGGATTTATTGCTCCATTTCAAGGGGTAAGGTATCATGTTCATGAATATAGAGGTGCTAATCAGTTACCTAGAAATGCAAGGGAGCTATTTAATCACAGGCACTCATCTCTTAGCAATGTCATCCAGAGGTCTTTTTCTTTGTTGAAGACTAGGTTTCCTATTCTCAAACTTGCTCCTCAGTATGCTGTTCATATTCAAAGAGATATAGTTATAGCTGCATGTGTTCTACACAATTACATCCGGCGTATGTCAGAAAAGGATTGGCTGTTTTCTGATGCAGAAAGGATAACGATGGATGAATTGTCTGATCTTGATGAAAATCCTGACATGGAATTGGTTGCTTCGTTACAAGAACATGTTGCTTTTTCATTGAGAGAGTCGATTGCCGCAGAAATGTGGAATGACTTTATAAATAGATGGGATCAGTGGTAACTGTCAGCAGTGTCTTTCATGATTATGATTATGATTGTTATTACTATTATTATTATCAATATTATTATTGTTGTTGTTCTTATCAACTGACACCAGTACCTCCCTCATCAGTCGGCAGTGCATCATTTGCATCTTATATCTAGCTTACTCTCAGCCCTCTTTTGCCTATCTGGTCCTCAAGCATCAATTTTCCTGAAGGATGCATGATAAATTGATAAACAACTAAAGGGGATAAAACGTCATGATTCTGTACGGGCATGACAACCTGATTTTGGAGGAGTTGATTTCGTGTATGCCCTCACTTGTCAGCAAATAGAATCAAATAACAACTATAATGTTTTATCAAAAGCAGAGAAAAGGACAATGGCACTGTGGAAATGTGTAATCGAAAAAAGATAAATAGATGTCAAGAAAAAACGTTAAAAAAAAGAAAAAAAAAAGATTGGGAAATTGGTGGCTTTGGCACTGGCTTGAGTAAACATTGGTAAAATAATTTTTTTTTAACCTTATAAATCTAAGGTCTACAAATACTCCTTATTGTCCATGCATCGCCTTCTTCTCACTTTTCATTTTCATTCTTCTCTCTTATTCTCCTTCTAACAAACCCTAAACTGAGAATTAGAGAAATAGAAAAAAAAAAATAGAGACTTGGAAAGAGAGAAAGGGAGTTTCTTCCAAACAGAGAAAATTCTTCCACAATTCCCCTGCAATTGCCCCAAATTTCGAAATCCATAAGAACTCTATTTCTGGGTTTTGGTTAGGGGCTGTCCAACAGCACAAACTATGGAGTCAATGTTGGTTCCTCGTATTGTCTCTGTATTGTGACTATCTTGCCTCTCTAGCACTTTTTTTTCAAGTCTCTGCTGGATTGAAATTATAGATTTTCTATTTAAACCCCACACTTCTCTTAGTTCACCCCATGTTCTAAGTTCACCCCAACTTTTAATTTAAATTTTCACAATTTCTAAGTAAACCCCATTATCTTCCCAAACTACCCTTAAATACACCCCAAGCTAAAAAAATAAGAAATAAAAGATATTTTCTATTTAAACCCCACAAAGAAGGACCACTGTTCTTTTTTGCTGTTGGTTTGGCGCACTACATAGTTTTATTCGTAACGCTCTATTAGCGACTTCCAACTAATGAGACAGTAATCCCAAAGGACCTCCATCCTGTATTCTTTCTGTTTGTTGCAGCACCAAGTGTAGCTTCCATGGCATGGGCAAAAATCCAAGGCTCCTTTGATTACAGTTCACGGATTGCTTACTTCATTGCCTTGTTCCTTCATCTCTCACTGGCAAGTATAACCTGAACTAAGTTGCATTACTACTTAAGAACTGGCTTGGTGTTATCGCTAATTGTTCTTTTAACGTTTTTCCTGATTGCACAGGTAGTCCGGGTTAACTTTTTCCGAGGATTTAAGTACGATATCACTTTCATTTCTCTGAACTGAATCTACCGTTTGTAGTTTTGTACAGGAATATTTTTTTTCTGACATTCAGTTAGATTTGGTTCTATAGGTTTTCTATGGCATGGTGGGTATATACTTTTCCAATGACTGGTGCTGCCAGTGTAACCATCAGGTACTCAAATGAAGTCACAAATGTGGTAACAAAAGCTCTGGCTGTTACACTCTCTCTCATTGCCACAATCACAGTCATTGCTCTTTTCATAACAACCATCTTGCATGGCTTGGTGCTCGGAAACCTCTTCCCCAATGACATTGCAACTGCCATCAGTGACAGAAAGCCAAAGCAAACAACGTGATGCAATGCAATGGGATGAATGAAAGCTACAGGTTTAGAGAATTTCATGAATATCAGTCAAGCAATGGAAAAGGAGGAGAGTGTTCGTGGGCTGTTCACAAAAACAGCGGCATCCAAAACAGGGTATGTATGTAGGCCTTTCTGTTCTTGCAAATATTGACATCCGTAATTAGGATCTTCCCTCCCTGCTGTGATGGCTGCCTACACTGACATTCGTTCCTTCTCTACTGAATCAAACAATCAAACCCAAATTGACTTGGACTTCTTGATTAGGACCCCCCCTGCCCTTTCTCTTTGTAGAAAACAAGGTCTCTTTGTAGTAGTCTGGCATAGGATGTAGAAGAGTTTGTATTTTTTTTAAACTTAATTTGAAGAGTTGTGGGGTGTGTGGGGTGTGTGGAGTGTGTGTATAGATGTACTAGGATTAAGTATTAAGTTTGATGACTTTTTTTGTCATTTTACACAATAATAAAACTTACAACTTAATGATTTAAGTATTGGGGTGAACTTAGAGAAGTATGAGGTTTAAATAGAAAAAATCTTGAAATTATTGTGGGATTATGGAGTTTTTGTATTGCTTTCATATAGCTCCTCTATTGCTCCTATATTGCATCACCACCACCTTTTTTTCAAGAGAATTTATCAAAAATAGCCAAAACTTGACCCCTAATTTCAAAAGTGTCAGTTTTTGTAAAAAATTTCAAATATACAGAAAACTAACCTAAATAGACACAAATACCCTCAAATTTTAAACCCACATAAACCTAAAAAAGAAAACCCTATTAGATTGGGAATCTTTGTACGTAGAGTTTGTTCGCAGACGTATTGCTGCCATAGTCAAACGATGAGTGCAATTCTTCCTTGGTTCTTCGTTTATTCTTCATCTATATTTATAAAATTTCAATTTGTTTGCCCGTTTCGGTGTTCACTCCTGTGATGGAAGGGCAAAGTTCCCCACTGCCTTGAGAACCATAAACTGGTTGACAAGTCAGCTTTCTTTGGTGTGCGAGCGTGCCACTGCTAGCAATACAAATTCTAGCAGACTTAGTTTGGAGTAGATAACTTGCGCCCCAAGTTACTGATTTCTGCAAACAAACGATTGTGAATTTGGGTGAGGAATATCTCCCAAGTAAGTTCTTTTCTTGCCTCAGACGGGTGAGGACTTTAACAATTTATCTCAGTATAAACAGGCTGTTCTGGCCAGAATGGTTGATGGAATTTATACTGTTTCAGGCAGAACTGATGGGATTTAAACTGTTTTTAGGCAGAACTGATGGAATTTGAACTGTTTTTTAGGCAGAACTGACTTTTACAAAACTATAACAATAAATACTCATGCTAGAGAGATGAAGATACAATTGGAACTCCATTTCTGCCTGGATGGGAGGCTCTGTTCTGGGCTGGACTGGAACTGTCCGGGCTGGATTGGAACTGTCCGGGCTGGACTGGAATGTTGACAACTCTGATTGCTAAGTTTCAACTTTAAATCGATACCAAAGGTTGATTCTGGCAGAGCTTCAATGCACTTTAAGCTTTTGTGAAGCTTCTGAGTGGGCAGAACTGCGGCTTCTTGGGCAGAAGTGGCTGTTCTCGAGGACTTCAGTGGGCTAGAGACTGCACTGTGAAATTTGAATGACTTATTTTTTAAGTCTGAACCTTGGGAATTCTAATCTAAAGCTGGTTTTCACTTGGAATTCAAGTGAGCTTCTGGTTGAGTTGTTTGTTTGTGTCTTGGCTCAATGAGCTTTGGTTGCTTCAGTGTTTTGAAGTCATTTTGAGTTTTTGTTTTTGATTGATTTTTTGGTTTTTTGAGTGTCCTCTACCCTGTTCACTCCTTCTTGTATTTATAGAAAAACTGTTTCTTCTCTGGAGTAGGGTGATTGTGTTTTTTTATTGGGCGGCAAAGATATTTTCCCCCTTTTCCTCTTCTTCTTCACTTCTGGCAGATAGGCTCTCAGATAGGTGATCACTTCCCTGTTTTTCAGCTGCCCCTTGTGATGTTTTACCCGTGATGGTTAGTTTGATTCTTTTTCTGGACAGCCCCCATGCTTTCCTGCTTATCCCTTTCTCAGATTTGTAACTTGCTTATCTATCTTGGGAGAATTACCTTCTCTGTAAAGACAGGAAAATCTCTGTATATACATATATAAAGGGGACTTAATCTTCAGTTCTTCTTGATATCACGAAACCTTCAGTCACTTCTTCTATGGCAGTTGCCATTGCTGACTTTTTCATCCCAGAGGCTGCCTTTGCTGACTTTTCATCCCTGCTGACTTCCGCTATTGCTGACTTTTATCCCAGAGGCTGCCATGTGGGATTGTTCCCTCTTCTGGTCTGGACTCCCTCTTCCTATTTATGTTGGGCCTCACAGGCCCAACTCAACTTTGTTTGTTCTGATGGGTCTTGGGCTGGATGTGTCAATTTTTGGCCCAAACACAATTATGGTTTTGCTTCCTTGGTTCTTCGTCAATTTCTTCTTTGTTTCTTCGTTTATTCTTCATCTATATTTATAAAATTTCAATTATGGTTTTGCTAACTTAACTCTTGAGCCCTATCCAAAGTGCTATGATTTAATATCGTCAATTCACTTTGAGCCTACATCAAAGGTTAGTGCATATAGGCTTGGAAAATTATTGAGTTTGGTAATATGATGATTCACACATTTGTTTTTGTATTGTGTAAGAGTTAATCTAGGTTAATTGCATAGTTAAAATGGCATGAGAATGGCTGTAATGTCATATGAGCTGTTATTGAAAAAAAAATTCTGGGAGGGTTAGTGTGTTAAAGATATCAGCTTGCAAAATAAAGCAAGGAAACTAAGCTTTTGGCTGCCTTGGTTTTGATGCAATGTCCTAAAGACAGTAATTTCACCCCTTCTCGGTGCTTGAAGTTCTACAGGTGACTGCCTCCCAGGATTCAACTATCTGTATTCTAAGCCCTAGCACTCGGACTTAGAATCTAGCGAACTATGATTGTTTTCCTCTCAGACAATGTGAAATGCTTGTATAATGCTTTTTCTATATTAAACGAATGAGGCTTCGTTTGATTTAAATAAACTTCTGAAACCTTATCAGAAGAGTCACAACTGTTAGAAACAGTTAATAAAACTAATCTGAATTAATAAAAAATTATTAATTCGAAACCAAAAAAATAATTTTAAATCTGAATCGTTTTTGAAGCCCAATTTGCTTCCACTTGGCCCACTTCCATTTACTAAATGTGAGACTTCCACACTTAT